AGATTCCCTGCGCAGGAACGCCACCTGGGCTGGGCGTATGGCCTCCCTTTGGGGGGAGGGTTGCCCTCTAGGATGCTGATCTGCCACTGAAGGCACACACACCTCAGTAGGCTGTTTACAAATATCCCTTCTGTTCCCCAGGCAATGCAAGGCCTCGGTGCAGGGGATTTGGTGTGCAGGTCTGGACTCTGGGACTTAGAGTTCAAACTATATCCCCACCAGGGAGAGCAGTGCCAGTCCCTATTCACCCACAGGAGCCCACGCTGCGTGTATGTCTCTCAACCTCAGGGTCTGCCCTGTTCTTTTGGGATCACCGTGCCAGCAGCACTTGGGAGGGCTGGCAGGTAGGGAGTTCACAGTCTGAGTTCTCCTTAGTCCGCTGTAGGGCCCCAAAAGGGAAGGTCCCGTTCCCTGTAGGTGCCTCTGGCTGGTGGCTATATTGTCTCTCTGTCTCTTTGGGCAGCTGCCGGTAGGGTCGGGGGAGCGGAGGAGGAGGCAATATGGCGTCTGCCGCGTGGTTCGGGTTTGTGCACAGGGAGGTGCCCTGAGGGAGTTTGGAGCCCGGTGCCACATCCGCTACTGGCTTACCACTTACTGGCAGCAGCCATCGCTGGGCTGGTGTCCACAGGTCTCTCCACTCGCTGGGGAGCCCACCAGCAGTCCGGGATGCAGGGGAGGGGAAACGGCCGATCCACCTACACTTCCCGCTGGTCTCCGGGCTGCACTGGGGGTCTCAGCTTCCAGTTCTCCTCCGTGACCTCCTCCTGTGGAGTCTCCCGTGGTGTCAGGTACTCCTCCTTCACACCCTCATCCAATGTAGGCTCGTCTTCTTGCTCCTTTCTTCTAATTTCTGCTAGAATCTGTCTTTTCTGCAGAGACAATCTGTGTGGCGGTGTTTCTCATCCGCCATCTTCTCCTGTTGAAAACAGTTCTTAATAGATGAAGCATGAAGCCTTGGGACTACTGCTCACACCTAAAGCCCGTGGGTTTCCAAGTCACCTTCTAAAATACCTATTTAGTGTCTTCCACAGAGAAGACATTTTGCTGACCAATTCCAATAAAAACAATGTAGTGTGGTTGGGTAGGAGAACTGTAAGTTTTAGAAGCAAACTGGGTTTAGATTCTGTCCTTGTTACTTGTCAGCTGCACAGACATTGGGAAACAGCTTCTCAGCCCATTTCCTCATCTGTACAATGGAGATATTAATAGTTATCTTCACTTCACGAAGTTGTGTTGGTGAAGTGGTATAATGTGAATGAAGTGGTTGGAACATGACAAATTGAGGCCATTTTAAAATGAACTTCAGTAAGTTATAAATGTGCATATCTGATTTATCTTAATGCTAGATTTTTATCCTAGGTCCCTTTTCTAAACTGATTAAATTCATAGTGGATTTCTTTTTTTCTTTCCCCTCAGAATGGTGGAATTATTTG